AAAAAAAAAAAAAAAAAAAAAAAAAAAATCATTGTGCAATAAGAAAAGTAAAACAAATATTATAAATAAAGCTGAAATAGTTTCCATGTCAATGTAAAACAATATAACATGAAAGAGAATAATGAAAACTTTCATTCAAAGGGCGGACAATAAAAAACAAACACCTACTACTAAAGAGAGAACATTGGGTTCGCATTGGTTTTTTTCTCTCTTATATATGTCACTTCTCGACACGGTCACCATGGCCATGATCATCACCATCATCATTTGCTTCACTCCCTCCATCTTCATTTCCCTCGTCCTAAAATTAATCAAACCACCATAAGCAATTAAGAACACATATTTAATCAAACCACCATAAGCAACCTAGAATACCTACAATGGTACCAAACAATCTAAAACATTATTCAACTACTAAAAACATAATAAGAAAGTAAGCAAAAAAATGAGCAACACATTCCAGTAACACCACTTTCGCATAAATTCATATAAAGCATGGACAAAAACTCAATCCATATAAACTCATAAAAATTCACACAATTCTAGTAACGCAGTAACAACTTGCACCTCCACTTCTAGGCAAAACACACATACACACATGAAGAATAATAACAAATTCATATCATAAATAACAAATAAATAATGGGCAAAACATCTTAACACTTTCACATTCAAGTTTAAACAACAAATTATAAAGAAACATGATTACAACACACGGTTTATGTCAAAAACAATATATAAGAAAAGATATCATGAAAGCATTGGTAATATAGACATTAGAAAAGAAAATATACAACAAAAGAAGAAATAGTTGACCTTTTCAAGAAAAAAACTTTCAAACCTAATATAATTTACGCAACATGTATAAGTTCTTTTCATTACTAGTAAACATTCTAGCGCACATTACAAATACCTGAGGAAGTTCATCATTGTTGATATCTCCAGACAATTGCTCCCTTATGAGATGTTTTGCTAATTCTTGAACGCTCAATGAATTCTCAACAGGGAGATGTTCAAAAACTTTTAAAACACCCGCTAATGTTTATTTCACAATCGCATCTTTAAATGGCTTCAAAAATTCTTCAGGAATCAGAACATCCGACTTGGAAAGCCTCTTCACTCTCTTGCTACACCTACCGAGAAGTCCATTGCTAATAGAGTCGGAAAGTTCCTGCATATAGATAAAATGAAACATGAATAAATCAAACAATCATAACAAACTATTTTTGGTAATGACAAGTGAATATAATACAACTTACATCATTTATTTCAGGCGTCTTGTACTTTCTACCAGAAGTTCTCTTATGTGTCTCCGTATACATCAATTCCAGAGAAGGTTGTTTCCCATCAACTTGTTTCTGTAACCATATAAGAAAAAAAAAAGAAAAAAAAAAAGAAAAAGAAACACAGAAATAAGTTTTCATTACTACAACACATTATATCTAAAATCAACACTTGCGATGCAAGTGTATTTGGCTATATGAATATATCTTACATTTTCGTCTCTAATTCATCTTATTTTCTCTCATTTATAATATTAAATACAAAAATAGATCTCATAAAGAGTTCTGTAAACAATTAACATAAATGGTTATAATAGTTACCAACTCATGACGCTTTCTTGCAAACGCAACGGGGCCCATAGTGTGTCTATTTTTCTGACTTTGGGAGGCTGCTTTTCTCTTTTCAGATATCATCTACATATACAACTTACTTTAACATATAATTTCATTGAATCAAGCAATGCATTTCACTAGTAATCTTATAAAGAGTTGAAGGAAATGGACATCAACTGAATATTCATACAAAATTATAAACACACACACAAACAAACATTACGCGATAGAAGAACACATGTATTCTTAATGAGAAGTATACATCTAATGAATTCAAAAGTTTCAACCCCTGTTTATACAAAAAGGTAGAGATCCATAAAAAAATCATACATATAGAAGCAGCCATAGTCATATTTGAAACCTAGATCCATCCGACTCAACTTGTGATATTCAACTTGTGATTGGGACACAAGATATGATTGAATGAAGTAGAAATTTATCTACTGAGATCTGTTAGAAGTACTAATTGTAAGACTTTCATAAAGTGATTTTGCATCTTAGAAGGCTAAAATTGATATAAGGAGTAATGCATGATACACGAAATATCTGTTGCATTTGACTAAGACAACACCACTAAACTATTCTTGAATGTGTTGAGGAATTATACCTGTTATTCTTAACATTTTAATCACTAATGTCAAGCCTAACTATGTCCTAGTGGATTAATCCTCTAGCAAAGGTAAACTATTAAGCAGAATATTCTCTCTTTCATTTTTTTTTTTTTAGTTTATTTTTAAGAGTAACTCTTTTCATGCTTGGGTTGGATAAGCTCCAAGAACTATAAGTAATAACTTTGTGTGAATTGGCCTTTAAACTTAACAGCTTGCTAGGAAACCGTCGACTAGATTTATATCCCTTTGAACCCACTTTGTGGAATATTGCACTATTATATGAAAACAAAAATAACACTGTCTCCCTCCCAACATGATGACTATTTTTATTGTTCCACAAAGTTTGTTTGTTTTCTTTAAATTGAGTAGTTAAGCAACAAACTCCTTTTTTTCCCCATCTAATTTTACATTGTTATCGGCAAAATCCCTCCCTGTATATTAATTTAGAACGTGTTGAAAGAAAAATGAGAGTTCACGAAATTTTACCTGAACCTCCTCTAGATCCCAATATTTTAGCAAATCCTTCAGATGAGAATCAGGAATCGATTTGTTTTCACCATTTGTATCTTGGGAGGTAGAATTGTAATAATATTTCTTTTTAACTCTGGATTTGTGAGTACGCCATAAAGCTCCAATGGATTGCAACACATATGTCTTGCCTTCCTCTGCTATGATGAACTTTTTCTGCAATATTAATAAAAAATTACTAGCATAAAATAATAACATATATTGAAGGGTTCACAAACGAATTAAATAAAAGTAGTGATAAATGTTAACTAAATGGGATAATGTAGTGAAGATAGTTATTATGTAAAAATTCTTAAAGAACTAAATACCTTGACATATTCCCAAATCTTGTCTTTATCGCGAACGTGAGTCCAATTAATTTCATTTAAGGGTGCAAGATTCGAATCACGAGCTAATGATCCCAAAAAACGACTAAACTTATCCAAAGTTGCCTTATCTGGTCCAATTGGTTGACACAATTCATTCAAAATGATAGGCAAACGATTGTCAAGAGTGCGGTCGTGGATATCTTTGCACAAACTTGGTCCCCTTGTTTGTTTCTTTTTAAGTGTAACTGTAAATTTAACAACAAAAAAAAAATATAAATGATATATTATATGTCGACATGGTATTCCATCAATTAGAATGTCAAGTCTATCCCAAAAGAGTAAATTAAAAAATCAAGAAACGTATATTGAATGTACAGACAATCAAAACAAGCTAACCTTACCTGGAAGAGTTTGTGGTTCTTGGTCAGAAAATGGCTCGTTTACAATCTCCACAACATCATTTTCGATTTCTTTTGGATTCATATCATCTTCTCCTTCTCCTTCAGAAACATACTCATGTAAGCTTTCATCAGCTTCATTTTCTTCAACTAAACCTACTCCAATACCGCCTACATCATCAAACAAATGGCCTTTCCTTGTTGAAACATTCCCAGTGATTGTTTGCGGTTCTTTTTCTGCCGTTGAGCTTTTCCTCATCCTAACATAAGCACTAAGTGAGCCAGGCGAGACCAACACTTTGCTTTGTGCAGTCTTCTTGGAGGAGGAGGTGTTGCTTATAATATCTTTGCCTTGCAGTTTACTGTGTACCACTGCTTTCATTTGGTGACATTTAGTCAGTCTGGATAATCTTTCAGTCCATTTATCTTGTTTAGGGTGCTCCTTTTCACCAGTAGTGTCTCGTTGAACTATTTCTAATGAATTCATTTCTTTCTCGTCGCCATCTTTCCTGAGCTTTTCTTGCACTCCGAGAGTTTGACGGTGCATGTTCAGTAAACTCGCCATTGAGGAGTGCGGTTTCTCAAACCCTTTACCAGAACTTCCTTTTACTGCCACCACCTGGAACATAGTGTCATTGCTAATGATTTAGTAAAAATTCAATAAATTTACAAAAATATGTATGTTAAAAAATAATAATAAAATTACATCTTGTCGCTATTAATAAACTAGAGAACAATTACTTAATTTACTACAATATGTGTCAAAACAATAATGAAACAGAAATATACAACCTTCGTTGAACGAGAGCTCAATCTTCTCCTATGATATGCATCATTCTCGTTACTTGACTTTTCTGGTTCGTGTTCCTCTTCATCAGGGACGTACTCATCATCATTTGCTACATCATCCTTAGAAATAACTTTGCTTATCTCCCTCCGTTTCTGGTCCTTTCTTGAACAGGTTACCTCATAAGCAAGATTCTTTATCCCTAACTCTTCCATTCTTCTTTGATTTTCAGCCATTCGTTTCAACCTTTGCATCTCATATTCTGACATCTTCGACATCTTAAACTGCAATATATTTTAAAAAAGTGAGCAACTTAACGTTTGGTTGATTTAATAACATTGCAAACGTCATCATCTTTTTAGCTTAATAACATTGCATTGAATCACAAATGATCCTACAAATACTGATCCCTACTCTCCAACATCAACAATAAGTTTTGAAAATGGAGGACAGTGTGGGAAAAATGCCCAAGGAAAATTACAAAGCCAATTACCTAAAATACTTTATTTTCTAAAATTTTGTATGGAAATTAAGAGAAAAGCAAGAAAAACAATATCCTATTATTCAAGAAAACACATGCTGCTGTTAATGCTAACATTTCCCAATTATCCCTTTCTCTGGGCTCATCTTTTCAGCAAGACATGGACTCATTGTTGGTGTTAAACACAATCATTTTTATCAAGAGATAGTACGAGATTATGCATTCAGCTTTTTCACCTCATCAAGCACCACTACAAAAAACATACACTTTAACAAGAAAGACCCAAAATTTGGGCTCTTAAACCAATAAGTGTTGCAGTACTATACTCCATTAGTATTTGCACCAAACAAAATTCACTCAT